GACAAGGCTTCATCTGCCGGGCAGCCCACTCACTCCATGCAGAGGCCCCATGTGCCCATGGCTCGGCTGTGGCAGACCACAGCTGTCATGGCTTCCTCAGCCATGCCCATCAGCCACAGGAGGAATAGGGCCCCAACCTCGCAGGCTGGTGTGTCTTCTGCCCCTTCAGGAATTTAAGTCTAAAGTGGTTTCATTTCATTGACCTGTGACTTCCCAGGGCAACTGAAGAGCTGGGAACTGGCCATTGGCCTGACACCTGGGGAGGAAGATGTCACTGGCTTTTGTGACCTTACATTGACTGGGAGTAGGTATGGAGTGGTGCTGGGACGGCTCAACAGAGGTGGCTGAATAAACATGAAGGTGTCTGTGCTCCCCGATGGCCCACGCCCACCTGCCACACTCCCTTCCACGGACACACAGACTTGAGGCCCGGCACACCTGCACACACATAGAGAGAGCCACACGCTCCCTCCCATGAGCCAGTGTGCACCCCACTCTGCTCTCCTGGGAGCTCCCACCTCTCACCTCTCCCCTCCAGCCTGAACCCCAGCCCAATGCCACCATCACCTTCCTCACTCCTAACCCCCAGATTCGACCTTTCTGCTAGCCCAGGCCTCTCCAGGTTACTGCTCTCTGCATACCTGGTCCTTTTGAAAGGAAGAAGAAGAGAAAGAGGGAGGAAAAACAGAAAGGAAGAGGGAAACAGAAGAATGAAACCACGGAAGGGGCAGTGGTGCCCTGAGCTATCTCACTGCATTACAATGAGTATGGACTCTATTAAGCTCCGTTCTGCCTGTTAGTGTTTCCCGGGGCAACACAGCCCCCATATGGCAAGCATGCAGCAGATTAGGGTAGGCCCCTGGGCCTCATTGAAGGCCGGGGTCTTGACTGGCAGTTGAACCCCCTACCCACCTCCCCCTATGCCTCACACTTGACACTGCCTGTGTTTATCTAAAGCAAGGGAGGGGGGGCATTTGGAAGGTTTTTGTCCTCTCTGAGAGAAGGGGAGAGGAGGCTGGAGGCAGGGTGGGGAGGGGGAGGGTGGGGGGAAGGCAGTGGAGGTGGGATGGAGAGGGGACAGGCAGGAGGGAAGGCTTCATAAATATTCAAGAGGAGCATGAATGGAGAGAGAAATAAAGCAGATGGAATTCGTGTTAAAGAACAGCACAATCACCCTGTTTTGAGCCCTCCAAAAACAAAACAAAAAAAAAAGAAAGAAAAAGAAAGGAAAGGGAATGGCCTTCTAGGAGCGTAGGAGCTGCGTTTATCCAATTAGCAGGGTTGTCAAACTGAATTTATGTGGAATGGGGTGGGGGATTGAGGAGGGCTGCAGAAGAAAGGAAGTGGTTTTCCTTTTCTCTCAGTTCTTTTTTTCCAGTTTAGCAATAAAGGTTTGTGGTTCCCCCACCCCCAGTAGGTTTCTTTAAAAAATCTCTTTAAAGAAATGAGGCTATTTTCAGGCAGAGGTATGTGTAACAAAAAAAGGAGACTCCTCAGTAACTTCTTCCTCCAGTGGTGGAGGTGGGGGAAGATGAGATGTGCCCGGTGGGCGAATCAAGAAATTAGGCCTTCCCTTTCCTCTGGGGGGGGGGGGATTCCCCAGAGCCAAGGGGCTGTGTCCAGGCCCCTCTGCCCACCCCGCCGCCATTTGTGTTTGTTAGAAGTGTGTTCTAAATATTGGGCTCCGTGATAATGACAAGCCCAGGTTTTGCTAATCTATTCCCTTCTCAAAAACCATCAGTAGTTCCCACCTGCCTGTGGTATGTATTTCAAGCTCTTTTTCCCTACTTTCCCACTGTGGGACCCATCCTCATATTCCTCCCTTTTCTCCTTTCATTCTCCCAGGATAGTCTCCAGAGTGGGGCACAAGTTCCTGAAGGGGAAATACAGCGTCCATTGGAACACTGGAAGAAACTATCAGAGACTCTCTTAATGTTTATTTCTTTCTAGAAAAGGAATAGGAGAGAAATGAAGCTTTCCCAGTGTGTAAGATCGGGAGTGACAGAGGCACCTCAGTCCGCGTGCCTGGCAGTGGTACGCCACAGCAGCACCCGGCGGTCTCCGCTGCGTGGGGGGCTTGGCCGTGGGACCTCTCTGCCTCTCATTCACTCCTCAGCTTTCCTGTTCTCTGTTAAGTGGATTTACAGATTATATTATTTAGTTTTAACTAAATTACCTCTCACAAAAGGACAAGTGGCTTAAAGAGATGGTTACAAAGAAACTGGGTTGTGGAGTGTGCTGGAATCCAAGCACACGCAGACAGGGAGAAAACAGCAGAGCTGACCCTTGTCAGGCCACATTAGGAAGTAAAAACAATGATGATGGAATCACATCTGATGAGAAGTCCCCAAAATAATTAACATTCACACAGACTATTTGAAAGAGATTACATCCGTGTTGTTAGTGATGAACCTAACCCTAAATAGGCACCCAGTGTTAGCTTAATGATATTACAAAACAACCATGATTAACAAGCCATTAAAATATGGTTTCACTTTTATCTCCTTTTTCCACTTTAGTTCAGCAGTACACACATTTAATTTATAAATACATTCACATGCATAGGGAATATTTGCCCGCAATGTTTTATTCGTGAGAGCAAGATCTGAAAAATTAGACTCCTGCTCAATATCAGCAGCCAAATTGCTCAATGTGTCCCCTTCCAAATTCCTGTGTTCCCTCCTTCCTGCAGTGCGTTTGTCTCCTTACACATGCACATTCCAGAAGGCCCAGCTCCAAACCCTGGATCCAGAAAACCTTTCCTGAACACATACTCTCCTCGCTCTGCTCTCATTTGCCATTTCGAGTTTGTGACTGAACTGGTGATCAGTGAAGGTTTTAGAGGGAGACATTAACATGAGAGTAATCCCCAAACTTCGGTGGTTTCATGCAACAAAGGTTTATGTCTTCTCCCAGCATAGATGGTGCTGCCTTGGCACTGGAGAAGCAGCTGCAGTGGAAGCAGCTCTCTAGTTCTCTAGCTCTAAACTGCCTTGCTCTGGAAGGGACACTGTGACTTTCTCTCTTCCACCTCATTGGCGGTGCTAGTGCATGGCCCTAGGCTAAAGGCGGAGGAGACTGGGAAACAAGGAGCTTATGGGCATCTGCTGAGCACTAGCTGGCTGATGACCCACGTTTTGCTTTAAGCTTCTCAGGACTGAATCCATTTTCTATGAAGTAGTGGCTTGTATACTTATATGTAGTAGATTGCAGTAATATTTTCTTTCTTCCCAATAGTAATAAAATGAAAATACACAGTTTTTAAAAAGAAGACTCACACACAAAATTTGGATAAAGAATAAGCTAGACATCTGTTTAGAGGCTGGCTCATACTTAAGAACATAAAAGCAATAGTTATTCTCCCTTGTTTGATATCAGAGTGGTCTGGGTCAATGTTCTAGACACTAGTCTAGAACTGTGTCGTCCAATGTAAGTGAGCTGTCACTCTGGGCCAGGCAGTTAAGAGCTAGAAAACTAGCCTTATGTGGCCACTTAAATTTAAATTAAAAAGGCAATTCCTCAGACACATTAGCTATAGTTTAAGGATTTAATAGCCACAAGTAGCTAGTGACTACCCAGCATTTTGGACAGCATGAATATAGAATGTCTTCATCATGGCAGGAAATTCATTGAGGAGTTTGGGGGAAGAACAGCAAGAGAGTGTTAGTGTTAGATTAGGGTAAAAATGGTGAAAGAGTGAAAGTGACCATACAGAAAGTTCCTGTAACAGACAATGATCCAGGTAACATTATTTTTATGCACAAGATAGTAATAAAAAACACTGCAAACTGAGTTCTAAAAGTTTCTAGCAGCTGGGTAACCCGACCCCTGGGAGGCAGTGTCAGGACCGTGGAAAGAGCGCTGGACTAGGAGTCAGACCCAACTTGTACCCCAAAGTCTCCCTTCTTGATTAGCTGGAAGACCTTCTGCAAATCACTCTCTTTTCTCATTGATAACACTCAATACCCATTAGGCATTATTCTAAGATATTATTTTATTTTCTCTAAGGGTCCCTCCTAATTTAAGAGGCTTGCCTTTAATTAGGTCTCTGGGTACAACTTTTTAAGTAAAAATGACCTTTTCAATCCCTCTCTTAAATTTGTCTCAACTCGCACATTCAGCCCTCCGAGAATGAAATTCACTTGCTTCACCACTGTCTCCCCCAGGGCCACTGCCCTGTGAGGGGTTCACTGCCCTCTTCCTTGAGGCCGGGGCAGCCAGCACTCCCTCCGCCACCTGGCACTGCCTTTTGGGGGGAACGCTCCTCTCCACCTTCAAAGGTAGTTGGGAAGGGTGAATTTCACTCTACAGAATCGGAAACGTGAAGAATGTCATGTAGGGTTAGAAATACTTCTTTTCTTATGGGCTAGCCCCTCCCAACCAATGGAACAAAGATTTGCCAGCTCTGCTTCTTGCCACTGAATGTTTTTAAAAAGTCTTTTCTATGCTCTCTGCTAGATCACACGCTCTCCTATTCAGCTCTGCTTTTTATGCTTCGAATTTCCTATGGTCATAGGCCATCTGAAGGGTGTGTTGTGTGTTTTAGATCATGGAGACTGCCCTTCTGAGGGAGCGGCAGGGGCCCAGGGGATCCGCGTGACCTGGGGCCCTTGTCTCTCTCACTTTTGCTCCAGCCAGTCAGCCGCCCTCTTGGGGGACATTGGAGCTGGCCATCCCCTGCCGATGGCCAACTCTCAGTTGTTTGTAATTTTCTGGCAAAATAAATACAGAGGCTATAATTTCTCATGCTTGTTCTCAACCTCAGAAGTATATTCTGTTGTTGTTGTTTCTGGAAAGGTTCAAAAATGTCTGCTTGGTGATTATTTCAGTGGGAACATGTATGTCAGCAGTTAGAATTTTCAGACAGGTCTTATGTTTCATGTCCAAATAGCTCTTTAAAAAGCAAGAAGCTAGACCTCAGGAATTGATGTTAAGCATTCATTTTTCTTTCTCTCTCTTTTTTTTTGTGACCTCTCTTCTTTTTCTGAGAAAATGCATAGAAAGTAAGAATCTTTGAAATGAGAAAGAAAATGGACATACTTTGCATTGCTGAGAAAAGTGACAGGACTTCCTGATGATGCTTTCACCCGACTTTGAACTTGGACCTGTTCATTTCACGATGCGGCACAGTCACACTGCCCGTGGTACTCCGGTTTAGCCTTACTTGCTCTTTTTTTTCTAAATCATCAAAGCAAAGTGCTCAGAAATCTGTATCTATGGAGTTATCTTTCTAGACCAAATTCCCTGGGTGACTCGGTCCAGGAGGTAACTAGTCACCCAGCTGTTCAATGAGGTGCGTCACAGCCACAGGGACCCCCGCCCAGCCTCATGTGTTTGTCACACTCCTCATTGGTGGAGGAAACCTCACAGTGTCCTGTGCTGGGGTCACTGAATGGTACCTGCTCATAAGTTTGTTGTGGGAATTAATGAGTTAACTCCTCTCTCCTGCTTTGGGGACCTGCTTCCTCTCACTCTCTCTCCCTCCCCAGCTACATTCTTTTCTCCTGGTTGCTTTTAAAAGCAGGATGGTGGCAGGCAGCAGCAGTGGGGTCTGTTTCCATTTTGAACCTTATAAATTACCGAGGCTGCAGAAGTAACAGGAATTGTTTGGCTGGTCCTTGTTAAGCAGGAGGGGGTCGGAGCTGAATTTCCTCAGTAAAACCTTTGTGGACTTTACAACCCAAACACCTCTGCAGCCACCCTGTGCTCAGATAAGAAACAGCCCTCCTGTCCCTCTGTCTGCTGGTATTCTTTTTCGCCCTTTATTACTGTGTATTCATTTTCTGTCTCCCTGCCTCTCTGCCTCCCAGGTCCCTCCCTTCCTCCCTCCCTCCCTCCCTCCCTTCCTCCTTTACTTCCCTCTTTTCTTCCTTCCTTGGGGCTGGAAAGGAGCAGGTGTGCACAGACTCCTTAAGAACTTGGGGAAACTGGAGGGCATCATGAACACTCAAGTTCCCTAAATTCCTGTAATTGGTAATCCATGCAGTATTCTAGATAGATGTTATTTCACTTGGGGGAAAGTAGACAGTTAAAACAAGTATCTGGAAAATTGAGGGGACACCAAAAGCTTGCTTTTTGGTATTGGTTTATACACATGTTAATGAACTTTTTTCCTAGAAATCACTGTTAAAATTCCTCACTGTTCCACATTACCCATAGTGCAACTCTGCCAGGCACCCACTGGGTGCAGAGCACTGATAGAAAATGTGTGAAAAGGCTGCTATTGTGGTTAAAAGCCCAGAGCTTTGGAATGAGCCCAACGAGGGTTCCATTCCAGGTCTGCAGTTACTCGAGCTAGAGCACGTTATCAGCCCCCAACATTCTCACCTGGGAGATGGGGCTAGCAGCCCCCACCTAACCGGGTTTTATGAAGACTAGAAGAATACCTCCTCCATAAGAGCTTAGCGAGAAACCTGTAGCGGTAGGAGCCTGTCCTACTGCCACGCCAAACACCCAGCCTCCAGCCCTTCCCAGCCACCCTCACATCCTTGGCAGATTTCCTTTATTTCACTTTGCTACTAACATGACCCACTGATTTACTGGATTGCCCCCAAAAGTGCAAAACCTCTCTATACTAAGAGGAAAATATGCTAACTTGTCAAGAAAGAACTTTTGAAAAGCTTCTTTGAAGTTTCTCTTTCACCTTTTATAGAAAATGTCCCCTTGTCCTTTCCCAGAGTGGCGGCGGAGTCTCTGACATTGAAGACACAGGCAGAGGGAGGGGTTAAAAATCGAAGGACAAGAACTCTTTCCTGGAAAACGGACTGACCGTCAGGCCGGTCCTCGACCTGGTGTGGAGGGTGCTTGCTGGCCAGAGTGAATGTGGCCCTCTCGTCTCTCGGCAGCCAGGTAAAAAGCCAAAGGGCCAACGGAGCTCGGAGAAGCCAGAGGTTTAGGCAAGCCCCTAGCACAAAGCTAGAGCCCTGAAGCCCCGCCCTCATCCCCCCACGTCAGCAGCGGTCCTGCAGGTAGCCGGAACTTCAGAGACTGGTGAGCACCACGCAGCACTCAGTTGCGTAGTTTAACTACTCCTCCTGACTTTTCAGTGGTGACTGTAAGTCTTTGAAAGAGTCACTGGTTAGATAACTGGTCCAGAAGAGTTAACAGTTTGAATGTATGTCACCCTCCTGCAAATTACTATTAATATTGACACCTGTGCATCATTCAGGACAGTGCATCCACTGCGTGGACTGTCGGCATGTTGCCTTCGCTGTCCCTGAAGCTCACTCGGCTGCCTCCCTGCCCAGTGGGCATGTTGCACACTTTCCTCACTGGCCCCATGTCTCTAAGCACAGCAGTGAAAAGCATGGAAGACAAATCTTGGTTTCAGCTGAGACAGAACTGTGCATTACAGTGCACACTTGTCTCTCGGTGATTTTGATGAATCTTTTAAGTGTTGTGGCTTAAAGGAAGCTTAAAGAATACTGTGGCAGTCAGCAAGAGGGTAGCTGGGAGCTGAGGCAGGTCAGCCGGGGCTGGAGGTGCAGCGGGGTCAGGTCGAGGGCCCCAGAGGAATGTTGTTCTGGGGCAGGGAGGCCACATGGTCTGTCGTCAAGAGTGCACATTTTGTAGAATTAAAAAAATGGCAGAATTCCTGCAGCAGGGGAGAGAGAAGGTGGGGGCCTTGGCTGATGTGTGGCTTTTGTTGTGTTTGTGGAGCTGGAGGTTACACACAGCTGAGGACAGTGGGTTGATTCTAAGAATAAAACAAAAAGTTCACAGAGATACAGGTACATGATTGGGGACAAGCAAAACCTGAGATCTTCGATGCACCTCTGAGGCTTCAGGACTCCCTCATTACTAACACCCCTAAACAGGGGTTCAGCTGCACTGTAAGGAGGGCAGTGCCGTACACACGGCCTGCACCAGTGGTGCGTCCGGCCTCCTGCAAACTAGTGGCAACAATGGCTTCATCTTTTTCTAGCTTCTGTGCTAGATATTCACCATCTCCCTGTGCCCTGTGCCCCTTGTCCTGTGGCTGCCGGTACCCTACCATCGTAAAATCACCCTCTAGTCCAAGGTGTGGGGGTTAACTTAGAAGAAGCTTCTTTTACATGAGAAAACAAGGGGGTCAGGGGACAAAGCCAGGCTCTGTGGCTTCCCTGTGGGCCTCCCAGGCCTTCTCACCACAGCCATTTCTCTCTCACGACAGAGTGGTGCAGGGGACTGCGGGATCTCTGTGAGTGACCCTGGTGGCTTATGGGACGTGGGCTTCGGACGCTCTGTAACACACCTTGCTGCATGGGATGATGACAGCTCGGGGAGGAAAGAGGCCTGAGGTCGTACTCACCTGCCTCCTCTTAGCCGCTGCAGGCTGCTTCGCCTACCTGGGTGAGTGCTGCCACCCTCCCTTTCTGAGCCTGCACCTCTCGGGGGACACTTCGCCCCCATGTCAAATGGCAGCAGTGTGCATTCTACCAGAACCCTTTCAGAAGCTTTCCTCCCCCCGCATTTCCAACAATGCTTCATTCCCACTGGCCTTCAGGGACATGCTTAGTAGTACAAGATGAGAAATGATCTCCACAACATCATATGGGTTATTCTGGGTATTTTAATCATTTCCAGTACATACCAGAGGTGGAGGAGGAGCAATAATAATAATAACTGCCTTTTACTGAGCATTTATTATATGAGATTATGGCAGGCAGTTTGCCTTGTTTCTAAGCTTCACAACAACCCTCTGAGACAGTATTATTAGCCCCATTTTACAGATAAAAAACTGAGACCCAGAAAGGCTAAAGTCACATGGCTCAGAGCCGTGGGGCTGGGACTCACACACAGGTGTGTCCGACTCCAGAGCCGGAGTGCTTGTCCGGGCGCAGGGGCAGGTTGGTGGGTGGGCCTGCGCACAGCCGAGTTCTTCAGAGAAAGATCAACTCCTCCGGGTTGTTCAGCTCCGAATGGCTGCCTGGGTTGCTGTGCTTCTCAAAAAGCCCCATTGTTGGATTCTTAAGAGTGTCACTTCATTGCTGTATCCTTCTTCTCTCTCCAGTTGAGGTCCCTCAGGTGACTGTCCAGCCTCCTTCCACCGTCCAGAAGCTCGGAGGAACTGTGATCCTGGGCTGTGTGGTGGAGCCCCCAGGCATGAACACCACCTGGCGCCTGAACGGGAAGGAGCTGAATGGTTCCGACGATGCTCTGGGTTTCCTCATCTCTCGTGGGACCCTCGTCATCACCGCCCTCAACAACCGCACCGTGGGACGGTACCAGTGTGTGGCCCGGATGCCTGCAGGGGCCGTGGCCAGCGTGCCAGCCACTGTGACATTAGCCAGTGAGTGCTGTCCCTTTGCTCCTGTGCCACGGTGCAGTCTCCCTTCTCTCCCATTCCCTCTCTTCTCCCCATAAAAGGGCTCCCGATCATTGAAATTTTAAATTGGAGTGTGGTAGCTGCCCAACGGTCCCAATGGTGGGAGGGCCACATGCCCTTGTGATGCCACTGTCTGAGTAGGGGACGTGGGTGTCTGGGGTGAGTGTCTAGAAAGAGGGGAACTTGACATGGTTGAACTATTTCTGTGGGCGCCAGAGCTGGGCCCTGCCACGTCTTTCTGCATGGTCACTCTGTGGTTTTAGGTGGGCGTGCCAGCTGCTCACTGTCCCCTCTGTCCTCTGCGCAGCAGTTGTGGTTGGAGCATTTACAGGGCTCTGTATGGTCTGAACAGAGCCTGCCCATCCCATTCCCTGTGAGGCGCAAGCGTATTACAAAGGCCTGGAATATAAAGAGTGGAACACAGTGAAAAGGAAACTGTGAGAGAAAGGCCTAAAGAGAAGAGAAACAAGGAAGGGATTCGGTGACATTTTGGTCCAAGGAGGCTGCCAGGAGAGGACTTCATGCCATTCTCATGTCTAACCACCACTTGGTCTGCCATGGCGCCCAGGCACAGCGCACACGCTACCCAATCTTCCACCCATTGTACATATGTCAAACGAGACTCAACTGATTGACTCAAATTCTGAAGGCTGGAGAGCAGTCCTGACACCCATCCTTGCAGGCTGAGTCTAGAGTTAGGGGGCTAAGAATCATCTCCCCTTCCCTGGATCTTAAAGTGTAGGGCATAGGGAAACGTGCCAAGACTAAGGGTGTTTGGATTTAAACTGTGAGATCTTCAGAGCTTGTCCCCCTGTGACTTAGTGGTGCCCCTTCTCTCTGACAGCCTTGCTTTGGGCTTCTGTGTCCCCACCATCATCGCCCTCCCTGTGGGGTGGCTCCAGGAGGTTGGTGGTCTTTAGGTTGTGGGTCATGCCTAAGGCAGCAGACTTCTGAAATGCTCCTCTGTCAAAGTCAGCCAGGGTCCCTGGGCTGTGAGGCCAGAGTCCTGAGAGGAGAGTGATGAGAGATGGGGAAGTGAGAAAGCCGGGGAGAAAAGACTCTTCTCTGTCCTCTGGTTCCCAGATCCCTGGAGGGACTCCACTGCATGGAAACGGTGATACAGCCCTGCCCTTTCCTCAGAGGAGGGAGGAAGGCAGGGTGGGGCCCCCTTTCCCCAGGGGGCCAGGTTGAGTCTGGGCTGCTACTTGGAGCCCCTCCAGCCATGAGAGCCACTTTGTGGCAGAAGGAGCACCCTCTGCATGCTGGGCCTCTGGGGGGCAGGCTAACAGCCGAGCCCTCCCCTGCAGCTGTGCTTGTGGGGTGAGTGGGGGACTCGGGAGACTTGGGTAAGGATGGGGGAGGATGCGGAAAGGTCATCCCTTCTTAAAAAGGTCAAGGTCAGAGCTCCATTTCCTACCATCATAGTCCTCTTTTATATATATATTTTTAAAGATTTTATTTATTTATTTTTAGAGAGGAAAGGGAGGTAGGGAGGGAGAGAGAGAGAGAGAGAGAGAAACATCAATGTGCGGTTGCTGGGGGTCATGACCTGCAACCCAGGCATGTACCCTGGCTGGGAATCGAACCTGCGACACTTTGGTTCGCAGCCCGCACTCAATCCACTGAGCTACGCCAGCCAGGGCTATATTTTTAAATTATGATTAAAATCACATTATAGAAAGTTTGGACTGTGTAGAAAACAGTGTTTTTCCTAAGCCCGCGTTGTCGTACAACCGCCATTGTCATTTTGCAGTCACCCTTCTGGTGCGTATCCATGCTCACGTGCTCATACTGTTGCAGTGGTGCTACTGAGTGTGTAGTTTTGACCCGTGTTCTCTTCCCTTGACACTGTATGATAAGCATTTTTCATGGGCCATTTGACCATTTTTACATTTTCTTTATTGAGTATAAAATGCATCCAGTAAAGCACATGCAGCATGCTAATGTTAAGTGGACGACCCGATGTGTTTTTCTTTTTTTTTTTTAAAGGAGTTTTAAATTTTTTTTTTAATATTTTATTTATTTATTTTTAGGGAGGGAAGGGAGGGAGTGGGAGAGAGAGAGAGAGAGAGAGAGAGATATCAATGTGCGGTTGCTGGGGGTTATGGCCTGCAACCCAGGAATGTACCCTGGCTGGGAATCGAACCTGGGACACTTTGGTTCCCAGCCCGCGCTCAATCCACTGAGCTACGCCAGCCAGGGCTAACCCGATGTGTTTTTCACGTGTGCACTCCAAGTAACCATTGTCCAGCAGGCTCCCTCATGCCCCTTTCTGGTTAGTCTGCCCCCATGCCCCACCAGAGCAGCAGCATCGTTACTCGTGGCCCTAGAATGTCCCCCGAGTGTCTCTACCATAATGTAGTGAACGCCTTTCCTGTTGCCAATGAGGTTGCTTCCAGTTGTTCATTACTACAAAGAAGATGTGCTTTTTTAGCAAAGTTTGGGCCTTTGAAGGGTAGTGCTGCTCATCTAGGAGGAGAGTGCATCTGCAAATGGTCTGCACATGTCTGTGAAGGCTCAGAAACTCATAACTGTTCATTTGGCCTAATTAGAAGCCAGCCCACACCTTTTATTGATTGGAGGAAGGGAGAGTTGGAGAGTGGAAGATTTATTTTGGAGCCCTCCTTTTACTTCAAGGTGTATCTGTGTGAGGAGAGACAATTTATAGCTTTATTTAAAAAAAAATTCCTGGCCACCTCTCTCTCTAGTGCTTGAAGGGATCTGCAGTTGGCAGTGAGGACAAAGGGAAGGGTTTGGTTGCAACACAAAAAGGCACAGTGAGAGAAGGGGCTTGTGCAGGAGCCAACCGAGTCCTGTTTGAAAGCCAAGAACTATTGGCTTGTCATTTAGACGTGAATCAGAAGTGAAATGTTTGGGCCTGACCAGGAGGACGGAGAGGTTCTGGAGACAGGCATGGAGGGGACAGACATCGGGAGACGGGCGTGGAGGGGCTGTGTCCTGGAGAGTGCAGTGCTGGCGGAGTGGGACTGCAGCCTCCAGACTTGGAGGAGGCAGCGGGCAGGCGGGAGAGGCGGGAAAAGGGGTGCTGTCTTTGGGTTAATGCCATGGGGCATTTGGCCCGGACTCAGCAGTTAGATTAAGTTTCCGAAAGCACATTCCTGAGCAGAATGGGAGCTGTGTTTTGCTGGTTGGCTGGTGTACGAGGGAGGCTGAGCAGGAGAAGGGATTACCAAAGGCATAGTCTGCATTTAGAGGCAAGGCTGGGCAGCGGCGTGCTGGTGTGCACGCACGCACGTACACCCCCACACTCAGCATGTGAGACTTCCTTTTCCTCTGGGGCCTCTTGTGCATGTGTTCAGATGTTTATCCTCAGACGAAAAAAATGTGCAGAGCGGCCTACCTGGAGAGACTGTGCCTCCTGCATCTTAATGAACTTCTTTTGATGATGGGGGCTAGGACGCAGCTGGAGGATTCAGGGTACAGAAGAGGCCTCCGGCAGAACTTTCCTGGTCCAGACCTCTTTACCCTGATGCTGGAGGGTGGGGGTTGCACTTAGACTTCATCCCTTCCTGGCGACATCAGCTTCTGGTCTTCAGATAAAACTGAACCACCCGAAGTGTCTCACCTCTGCACTCCTCCCCTGTACTCCAGGCTGCTCCGGCCAAGTGGGTAATGGCTGTCGTCACGTTCTATGGAGGTGCCTATCCCAGTCTCCTCTGCAGAGGACTTTGCTTTCCTGTTGAGCCTCAACTTTGTGGTAAATCTCTCCTGCCGCTACTGCCTAACTTTAGACCTCCTTATCTAATTCTTGCTTTTGGAAATGCTTGTGACTTCGATCTCCTTTATTCCTTTCGCCATTCTGTTCACAAGCGTTGGACCAGGAAGCCAAACGTGGCTCATATGTTCCCACTCTGTGCACCTGACCCAGCAGCAGACACTGCTGATGGACACCATGCCCCCTCTTCCTGGCCCCGACTCGGCCCGACTCAGCCTAGTACTCGCGCTCGCCCAGCGCAGTGGGTGCTCACAGCTGGGCACCGGAGGTGGTGTTCAAAGTACAAGCCATTGTTTCGCCCCTTACTTCCAGTAAGCTGCCATTGAGATAATTACTCCTATGTGATTCTTCATTTTTCCTAAAAGTTTTGAATTAATTCTCCCAATTATCCTATCATCCCTCAATTCCAGTTGACTTTGGAAATAAAATAGGTGGTCACTGGGTAGTAATACTGTATCTGGGAACTTTAGTCCTCAAGCCGATGTGGCGTCTTAAGCTGATGCTGATTTATTGGGGGGTGAACCTGGAACTCCGCCATGCGGGTCTTTCCGCACTCTGAGCGGCACACACTCCTGAGTCATCCTCTCTCTGCATCGGCCATTGGGTGAGACAGCTGACAGATGAGGAAGGAGTTCCCCTGGGAGGAAAGAACATAAGGTGACAAGGGCCTGTGTTACCACAATTTAACTCATGAATACAATGAAGAGCCAAACTGGTATAATGGAAAAAAACAAGGCACTGGAAAAAAAAAAAGATACCGGATTTAAGTTTTAACCCTGACACTTTGAGTTCATGTGGCTCTGAGCAAGTCACCTAATCTCCCAGATTGTCACAACTGTGGAATGAGCACAATAATCATGACAGCACGCTCATGGCTTTTTTTTTTTTTTGAGGACCAAATGAGAGAATACGTGATGGTAATATTTTTAAGCATTTTGTAAATTTCAGGCTTCATCCAGTCACCAATTTGGTCAACAAACATTTGTGGAGTGTTTTCTTGCAGGAGCCTCTGGGCCTGTGTCCGGCCCTGAGCTGCCCAACTCCATCCTGGGGACTGCCCTTTGGAAGACAGAGTTCAAGGGGTGGCAAAGCTCCCAGTCATGGCCAGGACCCAGAGAGAGGTCGGGCTCATTGGGAAGTGAGAACTAACCCACTTCCTGTGAATTTCTCTGTTGCCCACGTACACCTGTTCTCCAACCCTGTGTCCCATCTCCCAGCTGCCTTTCAG